CGCTGCCGGGTACGGTATCCCACTCTTGAAATCCTCGGGCAGATTCGGGTAATATAATTTCAGATCGTTGATCAATGATGCTCTGTTGCTGGCTAAATCATATGTTGCAAATACATCGCCCTAAAAAAAGCATTTGTTCCAAAACCAAAGTTTTATCTGAAATTATTTTTGTCAGCTCATAAAACGACTGCTTGGCCTAATAAGTGGCAGAGGATATGGGTAAAAACATGCAGCGTAGGAGAGAATAAGCCAGCATAACTGGGTGCCCTGATTTAATACTGGAGCACCACTGCTTCCAAATTTTGGATGATTTTGTTCATTTCATAAAATTTTCAATTTAATTTTGATCACTGGTTAAACTTCTGAGCAAAACGAATCGTATCTTTGATATGATGTTGGCAGCCTTACAATCTGTTGATGCTTTAATTTGTTGAAATGAATCTCAGTTAAAGCCATTTTTCGCCTTTTGCTGTTATTTACTACATCTTAAGTGCTTCTAAAAATTGTTTCACTAAACGTTGAATGCTTGCACTCAGTTTTCTGTTTCTTAAAACCGATGGTTTTGGGTTTTCTGAAACCGAAATGCGATAACTATATAGCTCACAGGGCACATCATTCCCCGGATTAATTGAAATTCCCACGGTTTGCGCAGTTCTTTGAATTATCATTTTTTTTATCTTTGAATTATCATTTTCAAGTTTTAATTATAGCTGTCAAAACTTACTGAAATGAGAATAGCACTTCCGTTTTCGATTGGAAAGGCGGCTTGTGGAAAGAACAGCACACGATTCTGTAAAATTTTTGGCCATCCTCGGGTCGGCCTATAAATGCCTTTTATCGTTTTATTAGTCCAACTATAAGACTTTAACTAACCTTCCTGAAAAAATTCGTTCACTGAACGAAAAGTGAACAAAGATCTTGAGAAATACAATCATCGATGGGTGAATGTTATTGGCGTTTCAAAAGAAGCGCCTTCTGAAGAATACAGGTGGGAAATGTTCTCCCAATAACTATGTCTGAAACGAAAATGAGCGACGGATTATGGACCTAAGAAGAAGGCAAGACGAAAATATGTTGATATTTGTACTCGATTCTGTTGCATTTTGATATTCCATCACCTCTAATTCGCACTTCCAATTAGCAAATTTTTGCCATGGTTAACCAGAGCTGATATTTGCAGTTTTGCAGATGAAAAGTAGAAAGGCTTCCGCAAACGATGACAATATGGAATACATCAGAACTGGACAGCACGAAGTTTGGAATGCTTCAGCGATGGTATAAGTCCTCAAAATTTCGACGCCACTTCGCAAAAAGCAGTAACGTATGGTGGTTAAGCGAAAGCGGAAGAGCAAACGCTGGATATGGTGAAAAGGCGGTGAGAGCGAAGAATGCTTGGTGTGCCTCCTTGTGACCATGTAAGTAATCAGACTTTTCATCAGATGAACGGTGTGTAAGATAATATTGGGACTTTGAGAAAGTGAAATGCATCGGAAATGAAATGTTCGGGTAGGGTTTGAAGATTTTGAGCACTTACACGGAAAAGACGATAGGTTTTGCTGGAGATATGCAAATTAAAATCAGAGGTCCTAGTACAGTTACACTCTGCGTGTGAAGACATCCCTGTAAAATCACTAGTATTGGATTCCCATCAAAAAAATTTTTGGGTCATAACGAGTTTTTCAACCAGTTTCTTTTTTTTTTGTTGGAAGCAATTTTTGTTTTCATAAAAGAAAATATACCTGAAAGTTTCCGTAGTTTTGTCAATATTAAATGCATAAATTGTTCGATCGGCGATCAGATAAGTGTGATGTTTGGTCGATACCGATGCATTAACGTACTGCGGCCCACCGGCGAAAATCTAGAAATCAGAAACAGGAAAAGTTCGATGCTGAAATAGTTTACTACATATTACTGTATTATTACACAACATCACAAAAATATGTAATATTGCAGGAGAGGACGTAGTGATAAAAAAAAGATAATGAATAGCGGCGCACGTCAGGTAGCTGATGCAGTAGTGCGTTTTGTGCAACTGTGTGTAGCGAACGCTTGTGCAACTCTGTCCAAGAAAACCTTGCTGTTGAGACTGCTGTTTGAAATGTACAGAGTTTTTTGTGATCCTCGACTTACTAATTTTGGCGCCAAAACTTTCACGTGCCCGTATGCGAGATTTAGACGCACAGGAAGGATTTATGGGAAAGATTCTTCCTGAACGCGGGCAGGAAAAATTCTAAAATTTCGGCTTCTTTGCTTCCGAGTTAATTTAGGCGCTTTATGCGTACTTAAGCGTACGCGGGTGTTGAATTTGAGTTTGCGAGATCACAAGCGGCTAGGGGATCCCCTGTTAAAATTTCAGCTTCCTAGCTTCTCTATCCTCGCGTTGAAATCACTAATTAAACATATTCGGGACACACACACACACACTTACAAACACGCATACACACACCTATACATGCGAACACGCATGCACATACAGACGGGGTCACGACAGTATGTGTTTTATGCAACTGCTACAGCACAGAAAGCATAAAAACGAAACATTGTAAAGCCTGACGTGCGTATTTCTCCATTTACTTGTGTGAGCGTAAAAAGTAAGGTTTGAATTCTCTTAGTGCTTCTTCCCAAACCTATGTATACAGTTTCTGCTAGAGAAAGATAGTAATACTCATCACTACCGTGCGGAAGCTCGCCATTAAGTCAAAAGTTTGCAAAGATAATTTGATCGAAAATGCGAGCCTTCTCAGATAGCATGGTGTTTTTCCTTACTGTTTATCAAAGATAAATTACGTACTTTAGTTTATTTTTAACAGAGGCACTAACTGAATTGGCCTGCTTTTGTGAAAACTCACCTTACCAATGCGCACAGCCATTTCGGGCCTTCGGTCCTTGAAAATCCATACTTTGCCATCGGAGAATATATACAGTCTGCCAGCAACTGGAGAATTAATGATTTGATTTTCTAGCAGTTATGATCAAGCATGCAAGGAGGTACAGCTTCAGACAGGGTTTGGCGAATGGTTTGCAACAAAACTCGGCTGCGCAAGTCAACTTTTGCCACATTTCTCCGTTCTAGAAAGCACAATAGTGGTGTAAGTTTTCCTTTCTTTTTTTCAAAGGCAGACGGAGTGATTCAAATTTTTGGGGTTTTTGAAAAGATGGTCGGAAAAACAATTTGTTGGTACATATTTAACAATAAAAATCTTGCAGCGATATAGCGAATGGGTGAAAAAAAACTGAAATGATGTTAGATTTTTGTGAGAGACTGATTTTCCTTGTGGTACGCGAAAGAACTAGCGAGCCAGTATTTTTTGAAAAAAAAAAATCAACAAAATACAAGTTCTTCCGAAGTGATCTTTTTTCAAGTTGGAGATGATTTAAGCCAGTCTTGTTTTGGTTTGTTAGTATCATTTGTTTTTCGAGATGTATCAGTCTACTTATCATTCTTGCTAGTGAAACTTGCAGATCTTTGCCGTTTAATATTTTTATACCCTCAGCCGGGGTAAATATTCCCCACAGTCTCCAGCGGTCATGTTGAATCTTCCATCCATGCTCCAGCACTTTACTAAAGTGGCCAAAAATTGGACGCTGTTGAAAGCATGGTGGCATGGTAGAGGAGCGCCCAGTTCTTTCTATTCAACACATTGAGAACATCGCCAGTACTATTCGATTTGTATCAGCCGGCAGCCATTCCACGTGCATTCTGCGGCTGGAAATTGTGGCGCATATTTATCCCGGCTGAAGACATAGTAATATGTCAGTTTCACTGGCAAAAATGACGATCACTTAGCTAAAATTGTATCTCATAACTGAGGAAGCTTACTTTCTGTAGCAGCGTCCAGTTTGGTTGGGCAATGATATTCGTGAAAAGCAGCCATTGCAGTAGTGCTTTTTTCTGCGTCATTTTGACATTTACCGGAATCACACTGCTTTTTCGATGAAAGGATATGCGATGGAAGACATGCTTCTGCTATATAATGTAACTCGATAATTGTAACCAAGTGTAGTAAATGTAGCATCTGAAAGTAAGCTGGATAGTATAGCTGTAATAGTTGTTGCATCTTGATTACACAATGCACAGCTCATGTTTTACGAGGGCCGACACGATCTAGTCTTGGTCGGACCTGTATTACTAGCACAAACTTGGGTCCTGAGGCATGTAGGTGTTGCCGCGCTGATGTATCTGGTGCCCTTTCTCGTTCTGATATCATCAGAGTTGTTTAGTCTATCAGTACGAGGTTCGTAAAATTCTGGCCTGTGACTTCAAAAGCTTTGTCCTCTTCCTGCGGTTACTTGCACCGAACTAGTATCTTTCGCCATAATCATATTACACGGCCTCTTGGATCTTTTCCAGGCTTCTACATCATCTTTCACCAAAATGGATATCATGGATGTAGGCACAAAATGGACTGGATTTGATAGAAGCTCATCGGCTATAACGAAGTGTTGTAGCATCATTGAGCAAAGCATCGGTTGCTACTGATTTTAGCTTACTGCAGAGGGTTGGCACTACGAGATGGAAGCAAATGCTCGGACTTCTTCCAGAGCTGTTAGCAACTTTAAATGGTCGGGGGAAAGAGAACTATGCCGATATCAGTGTTTGCACACAGCGATTTAGTTTCAGCATGCAGTTGAAGATGCAGGCTACTTCTCGGCACCATCGACTGTTCCACACTCCATGAAGCCGTTTATTTGTTTCGGTCGGAGTATTTGCATGAAAAAAAGAATTATGAACAAAAAAAAAGAGTGTTACAGCAACTGTTGTAGGAGGGAGAGCAGCAGCAGCAGTAAGAGAAGTAGCGAAGCTGACATCCAGTGAATTGATGGAAGTGTCGTCAAAAAAAGTCACGAGGAACTTGTTTCTCCTTTTGAACGATCGAGGAACAGAAACTGATGAATAGAACACGAGAACTGGAGATGATCAGAGAATGAGAAGACTTCGGTAATAACGATTATTATAATGAATTTAATTAAACCAGTCCATTTTTTCCCATCATTACAGTAAAAAATGCACTTCTTTTTTAGTAAGTCTGCTCTGTTTCGATCGATAGTCGAATTCAGCTACGTTCCCATCTGTTTCGTCCAAATTTGCAGAAAGTTTTGGCGCAACAAGCATAACATAATCTCACTAGACTACTGTATTGAGACATTAAGAAATTTCAATTTAAACAAAATAATAACGAAACGATGATTAATCATCTGTCCCAGGCGGAGCACAGTGCCATCGCTTTGCAGCGTAACGAGAAATTCTAGTTTCTGAGCACTGCTGAATGCGCAACTAAACAGATTTTCTATTCTTATGCTTTTTTTCCGTCGTGGTCGTTGTTCTACATTTGAGACCACTTCCTCAAAATTTTTTGTTTCCTACATCCCCTATGCTTCATATTTCATCGCTTGTAAGCAGCACATTTTTGTGATTTGAGAGAGAGCATTGCCGAATAGTTTAAGTCCAGAAATGCATTTGTTTTGCTCCGAAAGATACACATAATCGTCCAGAATTAAGGGGTTGAGTTATACGGAAAATACAGTCCTGAAAATAAACTTGAAAAAAAAAGCAAAAATTGGGTTGAAAGAAGATTGCATGGCAAAAAGCTCTAGATTTAAGTAATTTTAGAGCAAGAACTGGCATTTGTGAAGTCC